TGGTAACGGTAACGGCAGCTGTAACGGTAACTGTAACTGGGAATCTGTGAATGTGAATGAGAATGTTAGCTGCTGTGATTTACTAACTGTTCTTTGATGTGACCTAACATCAATGCGAATGAGAGACAGAGATAGAGAGATAACGCGCGATAGAGAGACAGAGAGAGTCGGTTGTTTTGCTTCCCCTTTTTGCAACAATATTTTTTTTTTTTTTTTTTTTGCTGTCGGCTCAAATATATTTTTTGTGCGTCGCCCCGTCGATTTCCCCTTTTCAACGCCAGTGGGTGGCAGCTTAACCCCTCCCCCCTCTGCCTCCCTCTCCTTCTCCTGCGCCCCTCTCCACCCATCCACCACACTTACTGCACATAGTTGTATTTTGGATTTTTTGCCCTTTACAATTTGTTGTTGTTTTTTTTTTTTTTTAAATTTCGTGCCGTCGCACGGGGGTTGTTAGTGTGTGTGTGTGTGTGTGTGCGAGTGTATTTGCGGCAGCGACGTTGGCGCCGCAGTCGCAGTGAACGCAGCATGCAGCGGGGTTGGTTATGGGCTTCCTTTTTTTTCGCTCACACACACACACACACACATGCGCGCTCACTCTTTTCTTCTTTTTTGTTTCAGCTCATTGTTGTTCTTGTTGTAGTTGCTGCTGCTTTTGGTTTTAGCATTTTTCGTTTTTACTTTTTTTTTTGTTTTGTTTGCGATTTTCCTTTGGCCGACGTTGCCGTCGCTGCCGACGTCGCCGTTCGCAGCCTTTTTTAACGCCGCACGCAGCATGAAAACAAAAAACAACACAAGAGATGAAAAAAAGCTAGTTGTTGCTCGCGATTGGGGGTGGGGTGGGGTCTGGGGTTGGCTGCTGCCGCCACATGACATAGGCCGCAAAGCAGGGTGAAACGACTGGAACGGGTGGAATGGGTGGAACGGGTGGCAATGGCAATGAGTAATGAGAGTGTTTAGTGCTCGTGTGTAGTTTGGCGGGCGTCGCAGTCACCGTCACCGCCGCCGTCGCCGTTGCCATCGAAGTCGGCAGCGGACAGTAGCGCAATTATGCCCTTAGAAGAGCCAAAAAATGCCGGCCACTGTCGCTGCTGGCGTCGCAGTCGACGCCAACGACGCCTTCAAATCATAGCACAACATTTGGCGCACTCTGCCTATGTGTATGTGTGTGTATGTGTGTGTGTGTGTGTGTGTGTGTGTGTGTGTATTGAAAGGGGGTGGGGTGGGAGTGCTCTGCGTATGTAATGGCTTCAATTGTGTGCTAAATTTTCTATTTCATTGTCGCGCTGACTGCGCAGCAGCGACCGCAGCCGCAGCATCAACGGCGCGTCGTCTTTTAGCTTCGTGTCGCGATGTCTGCTGCTTCGGCTCGGCTTCGTGCGGCGACGACGACGACGAGGAGGCCGAGGACGACGTGGACGACGTGGACGAGGACGAGCGCGACTCTTTTTAGCCACAGTTGCTGCGCTGCCACCACGCTGCGACTGCGACTGCGATTGCTGCTGCTGCGACTGCTACGGCTGCTGCTGCGGCTGCTGCTGCTGCTGCTGCCGCTGCTGCCGGCTCGTCCTGTGGCTGTGACTTGCCCGTTACTTGGCTCACTTCAATTGAGTTCCGTTTTTAAAAATAACGTTAGTTGCTGTTTGTTGCTCGTTACGTGCGCGTGTTGCGACGCGCAACAGAAAAACAAATATAAGCAAAACTGAAAACATTAAAAAAACAAACAGAAAGAAGGAAAACAGCAAACAGTACAGAGAACAGAGAGCACAGCTAAAGGACATTTCATTCAGAATATCAAAAATACATTTTTAAAAGTTATTAAAACAAAAAACAAAAATTCATATTTAGCAACTATTGTGAACTAATTTAATGTAATTTTTTTTTCGAAATCGGAGTTTGAAAAACAAAATAATAATAAAGCATTTTTTTTATTGTGAATGCAACGCAGTCGAACGTGCAATAATAATTAGTGAATCGAGTCGAATCAAATCGAATCGAATCGAATCGAATTGACATACACACACACAGACACACATCTATAGCAAATACCGAGTAATTTCGTCTGTTGTGGCCCTTTGCAGCGCCTGTGGTCCAGTGTGATTCGAGTGTGTGACGAAATAAACAAACACCAAACAACAAACACCAAACAACAAACAAACAAACAACAAGAGAAAGAAAGCAAAACACAGCAGAGCAAGCGAAGCTCGCGACATTCGAGCCGCAAATCGCACAGCGAAAGCGAAAGTGCCAGAAGGACCTGCTGCAGACGACCACGAGGAGCAGCTGCAGCAGCAGCAGCAACAACAACAGCAGAAAGAACAATATCAAAGTGCAATCGACAACAACAACAACAACACCCTGAAGGAAATCAAATCATGTAAGTGAAGCTGACCAAGCAATGCAAATAGGTCTAGTTCTGAGAGATCTCTCCCAGCAATCTATGAAACTCTAGAGAAACTTCCTGATAGTGAATATATATCTACGATCAGAAGTGACCATGGCCATTTCGCCAATATATGACAATACAGATTACATATACGAATCAATCCTCAGTCCCATCTGAACAAAAAATGTCTACGAATATAATTAAGAAAGAAAGTAACTAATGCGAGTAGAGATCAGCCACGATATAATAGTGTGAAACTCTATGGAAACTCCTGGTTACATTTGTATAGTTCAAATATCTGAACTAACTGGGCTTCTTTGAGAGATAGAGAGTAGACAGAGATACAGACTTAATGCAAGCCAATACGTAGGATATAGAATATATAGGAAATCAAGTCATCATCACAATCATCATCACAATATTACAACAATGTTATATTATCTAATTTTTGTCAATGTTATATGATCTATAGTAGAAAAATATATATATATATGAGCCAACTGAACTCTATGAAAAATGGTTCATTAATTCATTTGGAGAGATCAGTCAAAAGTCGAACCCAATTGTGATTAGCTGAATCAATTTAATTACTAAACAAGCTGAAAATATCATAGGTAAAAGAATCAAGTGTAGATAAATTAGTGCATATCTAATAATATCTTATATATGGCGCCACTCAAGTACTCGTCTTTAAATAACATTCTGTATCAATTCCGTATGCATAAGGAAGGAAAATGAAAAACAAAAGCTCAGGATAAGGAAATTAGGAAATTTGTTTATTTTCTTCAGAGAGAAGAAATCAACTCTCAATTGGAAAATCTATATGAATTCTCTTTAAGCTGTTAAGCGGTTAAAATATTTCCGGTTAAAATATTTCAACTCTCAATTGGAAAATCTATATGAATTCTCTTTAAGCTGTTAAGCGGTTAAAATATTTCCGCCTTAGGCTTTAGTAGTTTCTACCAGTTTTGAAAGAATTAAAGCTTATGAGTATAGGGAAATTACTATATTTAGACTATGTTAGTTGGACTAAGTTCTTAAGAGATGAATGCCACAAATTGAATCATAATAAGTTAAGTTAACAATTGTGTCCTTCCATATGAGTTTGCCTTTTGGAGGACCAAAATATGTTTCTAACCAATCTCTCGGATTTTTGTGCCAACAGTCAAGCGCGCTTAACTGACTAACTCCTCTATTCCTAATTCGGCAGGAGTCTTATTTAAATAGAATTCGCAATCTGCAACTCTCTGAGGAGTCGTCACATTGCTGAATCAAATACACAATTTAGGAAAACAGAAATTTCGTCATTTCTCACCTGCTGATTACCTGCCAAAGGCAAATTTCATTGATAGGTAATCTCGAATAACTCGGCAGATAGGGCGTAAGTCGTATTCGTCGCGGGGGCAGAAGTGACGGCAATTGTTTCTGTGTTGCAAGAATTTTGGGGTCTCTTAGTCACGCGACGAATGGAACTGCACTCTATACGAACTCTCTCTCTCTCTCCCTATCTGCCTCTCTCTCTATATATCACTCTATCTCTCGCTCGTCTTATACGATATCTCTCGCTCGTAAATGTATAAAACAAGGCAAGTCGTTGAACTTTGCGAGCTTTTTCGACTGATTTGAATTGCCCTAACTTCATGTGGGCATTACAATTTCACCAGCGATAGCGACAGAGGTAGAGCTGTGTGTCTCAAATGGAGATATAGATAGACGTATATAACTGAATAAACATGTATTTGCTGACTGCTTTAATAGCAGAGAGTACTATTATATTTCATTCTACATCTCTCATTGAAATGTGGAATAGACTCTAGGTAGAATTTGGAATAGTTCTGATAACTTGAGAAGCGTTCGATGAGATATCTGAGTTTGGGAGCTCGATCTTCTGCTACACCACAGATGCTACAAAGCCTAAGAACCAAAGAGAAAGCAAAGATTCAGGGAAATCTCTGATACGATACGAGAGATCGTAAGGCCCTGCTCATAGCTAAGGTCTATCGGACGAGCGTGGCAGATGCCTCTGGAAGGCCAGCCCACATGCATTGTAAGGCCTCTTCTGCATTCTCAGCGTCTCATTCATTTCCTCCTGGTCGATCGCAAGGGCATTGCGGATTCGGTGCGACGTGGCGTTAGTCTTCGTCTCTTTCCTGTTTTTGTTTTTATTATTTTTTTGTGAACTGTAAAACATTGCAAGATAATTACGCTTGGGTGTTCGTGTGTGTGAGTCTTCACTGTGAGCATATCTAACGCTGATATCATGCGCTGAGCAGAAGAGTGAAACAGCGAGACTGAGAGGGAAAGAGAGAACGCGCTCTTGCTAGAGCAATGATCGCGCTAATTCACATTACGTATACGCCGCGTTTAGCGTCGCTTTTTATTTTTTATTTGTGTTTGCCTTTTGCCTTTGCATTGTTTTGTTTTATTTTATTTTATTTTTTACTTTTTTGTGTGCTTTTCGTAGCGCGAGCGCGGTCAATGGACGCCGCGTTTATTAGGCCTTCAGCGCCTATGCCCCTGTGTGTGTGTCGATGTGTGTGCATATGTGCATGTGTATGTGTGTGTCGGTGTCGGTGTCGGTGTCGGTAACCCAATGCAATCTACAACAATTAGAACAAACAGCGGCGGGTTCATTGCGATCGCATTGCCAGATCATTGCGTTTTGTAGTCGTTGTTATTGCGGTTTGTTGTTGTTGTTGTTGCTGCTGCTGCTGTTGTTTTGTGTGTTGTTAATACGAGGTCGTACGAAGGGTTAATGTCAAAAGCAGCAGCTCGCACAAACAACTAAGCGGCAGCTGAGCAATTGGCAACTATTGGAGGAGCGAGCATGGGGCGGAGGAGCGGCAATTCAAGGGAGACGAAAGGCCAAATGGAAAATTCCGTTTCAATACTAAATCAAAGAAGGGAAACGAAAAACTCGAGTAGAGAGCTGCCTGGGGAGTTCCGATTCAGTTTCAGTTCCAGTTTTCATACTATTCCGTTCTGTTCCATATCAGTTCTTCGGCTATAATGTAAATAGAATGCATAAAGAGCTCCGATTCAATTTCAGATTTCAGCTGAGGAGCAAAGGGAGCTGCATTCCCTTCCTAGTCAGCCTAAGGTTTCGTAACATTTCGTATCATGCGAAGAGAGCTGCATACCAAATGCAGAATGGAGCTTTAATTTCTGTTTCAATACCATTTCGTTCCATCGAATTTATATAGAGTAAAATTAATTAAATGAAAGGCTGACTGCAGTTGGCAGGGACACTTTCAGTTTCATTACCATTCCGTGCCGTTCCAGCCACACACACACTCACACGCAATTGAAGATCCAAGTACATCTGTGTTTGCTTCCAAAAAAATGTCGAGTTTAGCGCAAAATGTTGGCCAGATTTTCATTCAAGCCAGCAGCGCGCTGCTCGCATCTTCGAAAGGTCAAGACAAGTGCCAAAAAGCCATGGCAAACTGCAGTGTAAAAAAAAACACAGCGAGGTATCAAAACCAAAAACAAAAATAAAAAAAATGCGTATTCTGAAAAAATGGGCAAGACGCAAGTGCGAGACAAGCACAATTAAAAAATTAAATCGCCACGCATGAAAACACAACAAGACAAAAAAAAAATTGAGTTCAGCAAACAGACGACGGACGACGTAAGACGGACGACGGACGACGGACGACAGACGACAGACAGTAAAAAAAAAGGCCCAACAAAATAAAAAATTATATAAAAATCAGCAAAAATGGAACAAGCAAAGAAGAAGAAACACACAAAACAGAAGCAGCAAAAACAATGCACCAAAAGATGCAATTCCCAACTAGTTCCTGCGCAGCGAGCTCAGGGCCACACACAGAGAAAGAGACAGAGTGCGGGAGAGGGATAGAGTGGGCGGAGAGAGCGAGAGTGCGAGAGAGTGCGAGTGAGGGAGGGAATGTAGAAGGGAGTAGGTGTGCAATGCAATATGTTTTATGGATCTGGAATTAGGTTAGGCCCAAGTCATGTCTAAACACGCACACACACGCACACACACACACAGAGGCAGAGAGTAGAGTGGAGTGCGATGCGTTGACCAATCGGCAATCGCCAATCACCAATCGGCATCAGCACAAAATTCATCAACTGCAAATTGCAAATGCACACACACACACACACACAGCGAAAGAGAGAGAAAAGCAGGCCAAAGAATTTTGTTGGTGGGCTTTTTGTAAAATTGCGAACAAAATATGGGCTACAACTTTCAATTGGCGACGATTTCAACAGCCGACAACAGCAACAACAACAACAACAACAGCAACAACAAGAGCGATAAACGAAAACGAAAATCGAAAACGAAGCTGATAAACGCTTTGATATGCCCGTTGATCGTATATTACACACACACATACATACATATGTACATATTAAATAATGCATATGTGCATACAGACATCCATACATACTCCATATGCACAAAAACATACACACACACGCACACACACATACACCAATACAGTGAAAGTCAGTGCGCTGCAAGTGCGCGTCGCTGCTGGCGTCGGATCTGCAATGAACTCAATTCCAGAGCAGAGCAAATGCAAACAGTTTTCGCTGCTGCCCTGAAACTGTTGTCTACAACAACAAGGGCAGCGCATAACTGTCAACAAATTTATGCCTGCCCTGCTCGCACACATGCACATACACATATATACATACACTAACTAAGTAACTGCAGCGATCCCTAATTTCGCTTGTCCGATTTCTCTGCACAGGAACAAAAAGACACTTACACACACACACACACACACACACATGCACACGCATATGCCTGCATACAGCGAAGCTTATTCTATTATATTGCTTATGTCAAAAGAAAAACGAGAAGAGCATGAGCCACAAATATTGTTGTTGTTGCTGTTGTTGTTTTTTCGTTTCTTTTTTTGGGCGACTGCGCTGCCCTCTCGCTGCTGTAATGTGCGCGGGCAGCGCTTAGCGGCGACTGCAGTGACGCTACGCGTCTCTGATCGCTCGTCGGTGTGTGTGTGTGCTTCGGTTTTTCGGCTGACGTTGACGTTGACGTTGACGTCGGCGTCGCTGCACTGCACAATGGCAAATCGCAAGCCCAAAAAATGAAGGAAATGTATGTATGTATGTATGCGACCCTCTCTCTCTCTGTTTATTTGCGTGTGTGTGTGTGTGTGTGCGAATGTGTAAAAAGTTGTATTAAAAAAAAAGAAGAAAAGAGCAAACACAGGCGGTACACACACACACACAATGTCAGGGAATTCTCTGATTCAATTGGGCAGCACGCACACACACACACATACACACTTGCGCAGCGAACAGCAGCAACGGCAACGGCTGCGGCAGCAGCAGCGGCAGAGGCAACATATCAACACATTTAACTGCATTTTTTCGGAACTCAGTTGAGCTTTTTAATTCGATCGGTTCAGTTACTAAAGTTAGTTCAGCCAAAACGCACAATTTCAAATTCAAATTCGAATTTCACTGTTAGCAGCCGCAGCAGCAGCGCCAGCAGCAGAGCAGCAGCAGCAGTGCCAGCAACAACAATCTTGGGCCAGTGCAGTGCGGATGCGGATGCGAATCTGCGGATCAGTCATAGACAGACAAAGCACAGCTAGAGAACGTGCCTCAAGTGTCCCACACAAGTGCAACAACAACAACAACAACAACAACAAGTGCAAGGATCGAAAAGCTCAACAATTATTTTTGTTTATTTTCTTTTTTTTACGTTCTTCATTAAGTTCAAAAACAAAAAACAATTTTTATGCATTTTGCAAACAAGTGAAAAAACACACACGTCGCATTGTGGCCTAAAACAAATACCAACAAATAAAAAAAAAATTTAATCTAAATCCAATTTGCAATTTGCAATTTCAAGGACTTTCCAACTTGAACTGCTGAAAGAGACAGCAATAAGCTATTTGAGTAGCAGAAGAGGAGAGAGAGAGAAGGAGCAGTAGCTGCAGCTATTTCAAGTTCGCAAATGTCGCGCCATGTGAGAAAAAATTAAATTCATTTTTTTGTCAAGACGCAGCCTGCACAGCTGCAGTTGCAACACAAACAACATCAACAACAAGAACAACAACAACTGCAGGAGTTCCAGCTTCCAGCTACCCAGGTACGTCTCAATTCTATTCCAATTGGAAGCAGACCAGAATGTGCTCGAAAGCTAAGGGCGAACGCTACAGTTGCAGTCGTTAACTGATTCAAGGAAGTGCTGCACTTCACACACACACACACACAAACACAGAGGCAGAGAGACCCACGCACACACATGTACTCTTTCTTCGCAAAAGAAGGACATTTGACTCATGCAATCCGGGAGAGCAAGTTTTTGGGCAAAGCACAAGAAAGAGGAAGAGCGCGAGAGGCAGTGGCAGAGGCAGAGGGTGGGGGAATGCATCTGATCAGCTCATCTGCGTTCAACTGAATCGAGCACAAGTTGAACTTCATTTTCGTGCTACTCTCTCTTTCTCTCTCGCTCGATCGCCCGCTCTCGCTCTCTGCATTTTTGTTTTGTGCCAATTTTCTGCATTGAGCTTAGCAGACAGTGCGTGTGTATGTGTGTGTTTGTATGTGTGTGAGAGAGCGGGCACACGCATCCATTCCCCCTTCTTCTTTGTGCGCTCTTCATCCAGTTCCAGTTCCAGTTCCAATTCCAATTCCAATTCCAACTCCAGTTGCCAGTTGCCAGTTACAGTCCCAGTAACAGTAACAGCCGCCGTCGCACTCGGCGCTGCCATCGCCGTTGCACTTCCAGCGCTTGATCATTAGCACTTTTGAGTCACCGTTGCCCTTCGCTGGCGAATTTAAACAGTGTGTGTGTGTGTGTGTGTGTGTGTGTGTGTGTACGTGTAATATTTAGTATAAGAAGCATTTCTCAAGCACTTTTGGAAACATACGCTCTCTCTCTGAGTGAAGAGGGGGAGAGGATGAGAAGGTGGAATGGGCGATAGCCGATATGCAGGAAGTCGTTACCACACAGTAGCCCGACAACAACACAACAACAAGAAGAGCAACAACAACATTAGCAAACGAACGCTATTCGTTCGCTGCGTTCGTGCCTAGTTCGTGTTGCGTTCGTGTTTCGCTTCGTGTCTTTCGGTTGCCTTTGTTGCCTTTTTCTGCTCTGCTGCTGCTCGCGCTGCTGCTGCTGCTGCGGCGATGGAGGATCTTTTTTTGCATTGCGCTGGATCGGGCGTCAGGGCTTTGGCATTGGCATTGCGCCTGCAGTTTAGTATTCAGCGTCGCAGCGAGCAAACGTCGTGCGGCAGGCATCAGAAAATTGCATCCCAAAGATTTGCACGTTGAGAAGCATCCCGAATGCACGCGACACAAACAAACATTCGCATGTAGCTGAAAGGACGTTGATGCTGTGCTTTTTTTTGTTGTTAATATATTCTATATATATATATATGTATGTATATATATGCATATATATACATATATTATATGTGTATGTATGTTTACACTGTGCGTTACATTGTTTTCCTTCCATCCGCATTATGTTTTCTCGTGTTTAATATTGTTTTTTTGTTTTGTTTGTTTGTTTGTTTGTTTGTTTGTTGTGGTCATTCGCTATATCTCGGATAGTATTTTTGTTGCCTCCAAGAAAGCTCAACAGCAACTCAGGACAGTTCACAACAGTTAGTCAGTAGAAGCATAGAATACATACATAGATACACAGCCGTTAAACACCTCGTACAATTAACCAGGCTAAAAGCCGCACTCAACTCTCAGGAATCGGCAATTGCAAAATTACCGTTGACAGGTAAGCGACACAAGTGACAAGTGAATCTCAACTAAGCATAACAAGCCCCACCTAGACATATACTACACATTCACATCAATACCTATATACATATATATATAGATATATATACATATGCACATACATACATATGGATGTCTGTGTGTGCAAACTTTCGCTTTTCAATGCTGCGAAACTAGGAACTGGGCACGACAAGGGAATAAATAGTAGTGCATTCAGTCAAATGGTCGTCGGGAGAGAGAGAGAGAGAGAGAGAGAGAGAGAGAGAGAGAGAGAGATAAGAGAGCCGTCAGTCTGCTATTTGCGGCTGTTCAGTTATGGGGCGACCGAGACCCCAAGCCCAGAGACCCTGAATGCAGCCAAAGACCGGTATATGTATACATATATATACACACACACAGACACACACACACACACTAACACATGCATAAGTGCATGTGGCATGCACATGCAGATGCACCGATGCACACACAGAGGTGACGTAATGCCAACTACTCCACTAACACATTTTTCTACATTCCTGCCCCAGCCAGCCGTCCGCCCTTCTGTCCGTCCCTTCGTCCATCGGGCGTCCGTCTATGCGCCTGTGGCGGCAGCGTGAAGACGGGAAAAACTGAATGAAAATTGCAGCGAACGTGGAGCCGTGCCTGGCCTGGCCTGGCCTGCTGTGGCCTGGTCTGGCTTGGCCTAGCGAATAAAGAGAGAAGCAAAAAAAAAAAAAAAGAACAACAACAACTAGGAGACGGCAGACGCAGCCAGACAGACAGAGTGTGAGCGAGAGGGACAGAGGACAGAGACGATTTGTTGGGGCTGAGGATGCTAGGCAAATGGCTGTGGCTGCGTAGAGGGCACTAGAAAGCGTTTGCGTGTGTGTGTGTTTGTGTGTGTGTGTGCAAGTGCCCGACATTCAAGGTTGACGGCGCACAACTTGTTTTCTTGTTATTGTTTTTGCTTCTGTTGTTGCTTTTATTGTTATTTCTTTTTTTTATACATATGTATATATTTGTATGTATCTATGTGAGGCAATGTGCGTGTGTGTGCATGTGTGTGTGTGTGACTGTGTTTGCCTGTGCTTGTTTTAGTTTCAGTTACAACAAAGCAAAGAGCTAAAAGGCAAAAGGCAAACGCAATATGCACAGCGCGCCAGAGCCCAGCGAAGCCAATTTCCAGGAACGCTGCAACAACAAAAACAACGGCAACGACAACAAGAGCAAAAGATGAGGGGCGAAAGAAAGAAAGAAAGAGCAAAAAAAATGTAACAGTAAAATTGAAGCCACAAGTCACAGCGGAAGCCTTCGTAGGGCTTCGCCAGTCTCTGCTATTCCTCTCCCTCCGCCTCGTTCTTCCTCTCTTCACACTCACGCTCTCCTTCTCGCTTGCAGCAAAATTGAGCTGTTATTTACAGTTAATCAAAATGACAGAAGTCGGTCGCTGCCATCATTATTTCACAGTCTGTGTGTGTGTATGTGTGTGTGTGTGTGTTACTCCCCCACTGTCTCGCTCTGTCGCTCTCTCTCTCTCTCTCTCTCTCACGCCCTCTCTGTCTCATTTTGAGTAATTAGAAGTGCCCGCCCTTTTTGTTAGCCTGCAAAGACATTCCACACTTCCGCTGGCCTTGAGAGCCAATCAAATAATAAATAAACTAACATCAACTGCCTTCAATTGAAGGGCATCCAGCCAAATGGACAGACGGACAGATGGACGAATGGACGCGAATGGGAGCCGTCGTCTTTGCAGACGGATGGGATGACTCAGCAATAGGTCGCACACACATRCAGCTGCATGCATGCATGTAAAGTTCTAGCAAAGTCTACGCACACACACACACACGCACACACACGCACACGCACACGCACATTGATAATGACGATGCCTTCAATTCATTCCAAGGCCGTAGTCACGAGCACATGCGAGAATTGCAAAATGCAACAAAGCACACACACACACATACACACATAGAGTTAGTGAGTGAGAGAGAGACAAGTGCGAGGGTCTGCTGTCTGGCATGGCAGACGTCGGCGCTGCATGGGCGTGGGGCGTGGTGGGAATGGAGACGAAACTGTTGCAGCTAGCTCACGCGGCTGCCATGCTTGGAAGCGGCTGCGCCAAGGCCACGCAATGATTAAGCGTCGAGTTGACAAATGAACATCGGCGTAGACCACGAAATGTTGCTAACGGCGCTGCCATAGACGAAGCTGCAGACGTAGGGAAAAGAGAAATAATAACTGTACCCGATAAACGCAGCAAAGAGGCTTCTTCTGCTGCTGCTTCGCCGGCTCTCCATCAGACCCCAAGCTGCAGCCGGAGAGAAAGCGAGACGGATGTTGTTCTCTTCTTTCTCTTTTCTCTTCCTCTTTCTCCCTCTCCTTTTACTGCCCTTAGTTTTTGCTTTGCAGCTTTGCAGTCAGTCAGTCAGTCAGTTGGTCATTGGTGTCATGTGCATAGCTCACGCTGTCTCCGTCTGCTGCTTATTCTGTTCTGTTTCTTGTTCTTCTTCAGTTTCGTTCCCCTCTCCTCTTTCTCTGCTATGGCTCCTGGCCTAGTCTATCGTGGTGCGCCGTGGCGTTGCGTGGCGAGCCGAAGCGAAGCGAACCGAGTCTCAGTTTACATCATTGCCGCTGTCCATCCCTCCCCTCCCCCATTACTTTTTTCTTTTTCTTTTTTTTTTTTTTTTGATAGGAAAAATCTTTTATGCATATGCATAGCAGCCAGCCACATGGATTGTAATATGATCTGTGTCTGCTGATATTAGTAACGGTAAACACAGGTTTCTCGTTGACCATGTGGCGTATACGTAACACATGCGTTCTTTACTAGAAAATGCGATTGACAGACAGACAGGCAGGCAAGAAGTGTACGAGATAGAAAGAGAAAGAGAGACGGCTTAAGCAAGTCAGCAAATCAAATGATCATTGAACTCGTTCGCGCTCGTCAATGCATCGATCTTGCCCTCTCGCTCACACTCGCGCCATCGGCTGTATAACGGCATTTGGCGCACCCAAAAGTTTCAAAGCCTTAAACAACTCAAGAATAAGTCACATGGCACTGCAAAAACACACATATGTACATACATATGTATGCATATAAACACGAACATAAATTGTATAAAATATATTAACTATAGCTTTAGCACTACGACTATAAATATGCACATACGTACACACATCTACATATGTATACATATAAAGAAAGAGCGAGTGGGAAAGAGCGAACCGGTCATAGTCATCCATTCCATTCAATTCCCCTTCCCACACTTCCAAGCACAAGCACACAAACACACATGCATACATATATACAACAGCGATCGTAGTCACAGTCGTTGTCGGCGGCCGATTCATTTCCATTTCCCAGTGTTGACTGCGAGCGCATATTTTTGCTCGAACACATTTTTATCTAATAACCTTGTGCAATGTTATTAAACCCAAAAAGTTTCTTAACCTCGCCGGCATAGCAGCAGCCGCAGCCGCAGTAGCAGCAGCGCAGCGCAGCTACGCGCCGAGCAGCTTTTGATGAAAAATGCTAATACGCGTGCTCTCGGCGTTTGTATGCAAGCCCCACACACACATACACATTCGCGAGCAAATAATCAACGACAACGCACAGAGCTTAAAAAATATAGCTCGCTCACTAATACGAATGCAGCTTGGACTGCACATGAACGCAGGCGACAATTCGGTCGTCGTCGTGTAGGTATTGTTGGGTGCGGGAGGAGAGACGGGGACGGGACTACTTGAGGCCTATATGCGTGCATATATGTATATGCCACATATATATACATACATACACACTTATGTATTTGCGTATGTGTGTCACTTGAATACAATTCTTGCAGCAAGTAGGAGTTTGCTTATTTGTGCAGAAATTCGCAAACACGCATATATGTACATGTATGTATGTGCACATACACTCACATATACAATTTCACTCAAATAGAGAGTGCTGCGTAAATTGCAAGGCAAACAAGCAAATGCCATGTAATACAAATTAAATTGTGAATATGTGTACGTGCATGCATATATGTATACATACAGGCATCCATAGACGCATATGCACACACACACAGGGATCGGTCACTGCAGAGAGCGCGTAAAAGAGGGAGAGAGCGCGAGCGAGAGCAAGAGCGTGCAAGCAAGTCCAATGCGCAGCTAACTTTTGTTTTAGCTTTTGCTCTCTCAYACACACACACACGCATACCCTAGGGAGAGCTGTTTTGTTGTTGTTTTATGTCTTTTTCGTAAAGCATTGCGTTGTAGGCTTTTGTTCATGCCAGCAATTCGTGTAAGTGTTTTGTTATGTTTGTGTGTGTGTGTGTGTGTGTGTATGTAGTTATTTTAAAATTAAATGCATTTTTCAACTGGCAAGAAATTTTGCCAGCTCTGCATTACTTTTGAAAGTGCCTTCTTGCTTTTTGTGGGCCTCACGGCGACTGCGAAGTGCTGCGCCAGCTGATTAACGGTCCTGCGATTTCGATTGGGTTACTTTTCTGTGCATACATATGGATGTATGTAGTATGTATGTATGTACATAACGAGAATAGAATGGCCCAATAAGAAGTGATCGAACTAATTGGAAAAGCAAGCTGAAGTACAACAGTAAGTATTTCAATTTCCAATTAATCGAATTCGAACTCGAGCTCGAATTCCGCTTAGAAACCTCAAAGATGATTGGTATGTAACCCTAACTAAATTATTTCAATTAGAGTTCAAACATTGCATAGACACTTTCAACTGATAATGGATGCACATTGCACTATAATACATTTTATATATTCACCTTCATGCAGCTGCAATATGTATGTACATATATACATCCATACATATATGTACATCCAGTTTTGTTGATGGCTCCCATTTCGCAGTTCAATGCTCAGAGGCGGGGCCAATAGCTGATTGTCCGCTGCTCCGCTCGCAGGGGGTGGGGGTGAGGCGGTTATCTAAGGCGTTCCAGATAATACAGCTCGGCGCACTTTGATTTTTGTTACACTTTTTCACTACAGCAACTGGGCGGGGGCGGTGTCGTTACTTGCGATCTGCGGGCCGTTGAACGGGTACGCGAACGTCGCGAGTTCAAAGCCCTCGCGACAGCGACGCAGCGACTGCGACGGCGAAATCAGCCAAAAAATAATAATATAATAATAACAAATTCACTTCACCTTTGCCACACATTGCGATATAAATGCTTTGCATTTGGGCCTTTTTCTTTGACATTATGCATTTTCCCTTGGCCATTTTGCACTTTGCACTTTCCAATTTCCAATTTCCACTTGGGAAATTTCACCACTATCGGTGCCATTTGGTGAACGAAACTAACGGCAAGCGACCAAAGCCAAACGCGTCGCACACTCAACTAAGCAACGCTGGAAAATGCGCGACTCGATCTAGCTCTAGCCCAGAAACTATTTGTGCTCAAGAGCAACGACGCAGCTGCTCGATTGGGGAAACTTACAGCTAGTTTGTTGGCAGAGCGCAGCGCCGCAACTGCGGCGCTAGATAAGCCAAAAGCACTCAAATAGAAACGAAAACTACAAGCAGAAACTAGTTGAGCGAGGGCCGAATGGAGCTTTTTGAGTGAAAGCTGCAGACGGCAATAGTTGCGCGATCACTATTGAGTGTTTGTGTGCGAGCGTGTGTGTGTATGTAGTGGTGTGTATGTGTGTTTACGTGGTAGATGTGTAAGGGAACAAGTTAGACAGGCATCAGCATTGAAATCTCTACCGTTTGTTCTCATTTGCAAGCACACAAATACATGTACATACATACAGACAGACATATACCTACATATGAATGTACATATGTATGTACAAATACACAAAGTAGTGATTGAGCTTGTGTTGTTGATTTTTGTTGTTGCTTTCGACTTTGGCATGAGGTAAACGACCGAATGTCCGACAGACGATGACTAGGTTAAGGTGAAGGTCAAATTAGCAAAAAAATGCTATAAAGCAACAACAAAGGCAGGCAGCAGCGGCAGCGGCAGCGGCAGCGCAACAGCGACTTCGACTGCGGTAGTAGCGTCGACTGCGTCGCGCACCAACAATAGAAATCAACTTTGTCAGCGGTAAAGCGATCGAGCAGCTAAAATAACACACAAACAACAACAGTAAGCAGAGGCAAACGCAAACAGCAAAGAAGAGAAGAAATTGAAGCGTAGACAAACGTGACCACGCGCTGACTGGCAGGCAGGCAGGAAGACACAGGAGCACACAGACAGACACACACACACACACATTCATACATACGCAAGCATAGAAAGTTGAACTCCAGACAACAACAGCAAAGCTYAGCAGGCAGGCAGACTGGCAGACGGGCAGACAGGCGGACAAACAGAGAGACGCACAGGGAGAGAATAGGGACAGCCAGACAGACAGTTGCAGTTGTCTTTTATTTGTGTCTGAAGAGTCGCCCGCATCGTGATCCCTTCCAATCCCTTCCACCGTCCCTAGCCCAGTCATAGAACAGTCGCAAAGTCTCTGTTGAGCTCATCCAGGCAGCCAGTTCCCGATTCTAATTTTTGCGTGGTTGGCTACATCCCGAAATACGTACATACATATGTACATATATATGTATACATATCTACATTCGTATATATGTATGTACATATGTATTTTTGTACATATGTATCGAAAGATAGACAGACGCCAACAAAGGAAACACACACACACACACGCATACATACATATGTATGTGCGCATATAGTGCAAAAACGTGCGCTGAGTCTTTGCATTTGTCCATGTCTGCGCCTGCGTCTCTGGCGCTGCCTGTTTGAAAGTGTTTGTTGAACGCCACGCGTTTGCTCACTAGCGCTTTTGCTCTCTTACTCCACACACACATAACATACTGAGAGAGAGGCCAGCAATAGAGCGCGAGAAGCTTTTTCTGCAATCTAATGGCGCATTGGCTTCGCCTCAGCTGCTGCTTCCCTCACACTCGTTCAGACACTATGCCTCTAGGCAGCAATACTGCCGGCAGCAGCAGTTGAGACAGCAGAGACAGAGGAAGAGGCAGAGGCAGAGGCAGGGGCAGAACCAGCAACGTTGAACGCAAGACCTTGAACTTGGACTCAGTTTACGAGTTGAAAAATTGGGTTTTGTTATGAATTGTTTTGTGTGTCGCTGTGGTATTCGCCTCTCGCTCTTCCATAGCAAGCTTTGCGGGCCTCTGTTGGTTGGTCGCGGCCAGCAGATGCCACTCAATTCCATTTAATTAGTCTATTCGCCTAATTAATAGACAAATCAGATAAACCAACACGCGCAGCACGCAACATGTGCAACAAGCTTGTTGGAACTGCATGTGGTTGCATACTCATCTTGTTGTTGTGGCTCTTGTTGCTCTTCCCTTTCCGCAACAACATATGTATGTATGTGTGTGTGTGTGCTCATGCCGGCATCTGTCTAGCCTTTGTCTAGCCCACTGGAGCGCGCACACACACAGGCACGCGCACACATGTAAGCACACATTCGCATGTGCAGACAGAACTGTCCCACTCTACGCTGCTTTTGTAATGGTCGTCGTCATAGTCATCGTCATTGCTGGCGTCGTCATCGTCGTCGTCGTCGTCGTCGTAGTCGTCGTCGTCGTCGTCATCGCCGTCGTCGTCGTCGTCTCTCGTTCTAGTTTTTACATAAAACTTTCGCTTTCGCTGCTGTGGCTGCTTGACTATGTGTATATACATGTGTGTGTGAGTGTGCCTGACTGTCTGCCAGTATGTGTGTGTGTGGGTGTTTTCTTTGTGTGCGGACGTTAGATTTTACATTTGACCGGCATAATATGTATGAATGTGTGTGCGCGCATGTGTGTGCGTGTATGCTAACTGGAGGAATGAGCGAAGTCAAAACAAAACCAGGAGACCGACAAATGGTAGGCACACACAAATACACACACACACACACACACACACACACACACACACACACACGCAAGGCGACTGTTGACTCGGGTCTCCATCTGTCGGCAACAAGTGGCGATGTGTTTGTGTGTCTATCTCTATGTCTACTTCTATGGCTCTGTGTCTGCGGGTGGGACTGACCTTGTTCAATGAGCGCTCTGTAAACAAGCATCTTCCTCTCCCCACCCCCCAGCCCCCAATCCCCAGCCCCCCGCAAGCGCTCTACTTATCTGCGCGAAGTGGAACTCGCGTTGCCAAGCGGCTTGGCGAGCAGAGTCAACTGATAGAGAACTACTAGAGGAGACTGGTCTGTGTTGCCTGTATGTCTCTCTCTCTCTCTCTCTCCCTCTCGCTATTGGTATATATATATACATGTAGGTATGTGTGTGTATATATAGAACTAACGCAGTTAAAGCTAACCTTGAAATAGCAAAGGCAAACGCCGCACACATGGCGAACAGGCCAAGCGAAGCAGAGTGAAAAAGAGAGCAGACAAAAAATGCAGCATGTATTGTGAGAGAACACTGATAGATACCCTGTAAATGGTAGGCAGATATAGTGGACGAAGGACTTACATACACATGTCCATCATCAATCTATGTGTATGTATGTATGTGTGCTGGATATACATACATATTTAGTTATTGTATATGTATTAGTTGACGTATCACAGTTAATCCAGTTTGATAAAAAATGCTCGTCCTCACACACACACATACACACAACGAAGAGTGTGCTTGGATCCATTGTGAATGACATAATGAAATTTAGTTTAGTTTCCAACCGAACAAACTACTTGTCTATCTAATCTCATTTGTTTGGCGTTGCTTTTTTTCGCGCATTCAACCAAATAATTGCTTCATGCGCACACATTCACACCCACACACACGGACAAAATAGCAAAAAAAGAAAAAAATGGGGAAAAAAAAACTGCAGTGCCAAAAACAAGCAGAAGAAGTAAAAAAAAGGCACTTTTTTCTAGAACTATTTTAAAAGCTGCTCGGCAGCGACTGCGACTGCGACGGCGACGGCGACGGCGACTGTGTCTGTGACGACGGCGTCGCCGGCTCGCGCTCTCACACCCGCTCGGCCGCTGTCCCGCTCCCACTCACGCTTGCTCTGGCTGGCGTAGAGAGTGCGCAGCGAAATGCGCCAAACAAAATTTAATAATAATACAGCAACAACAACAAATGTAGTATTTAGCCTTGAAAGTTCGTAAGCACTACGAGCGAAGATCTTTTATTTTATTTGATTGTTGTTGTTGTTGTTTTTCGGACAAAAAGTCACATTAAATACAATTCGAAATGGATCGAAAGCAACAACAAAACAGCAGATCGAAGAATCGATTCAAAGCAAACTTGACGAAGCTGACGAAAGCCTGTGGACTCTGCATGCAGAATGCTAGTTTAGCGAACTTGACGAAGCTGACGAAAGCCTGTGGACTCTGCACTGTGTTAGTTGGCGACGGGGGTCGAATGCTCGAGTTCGAATCGCACACAGACGAATATGAGTCGACATAAAAGACACAGCAAATGGATATATTTAATTCGATGTTCCATATTCCAATATTTCGTAGCTGAGCAGCTGCTGGGCCATGGTCACGGTCGCACGCTCTCCTGCCGCTCTCCTGCCCCCCCTGGCCGTACCCTGCCGATGAGAGTGGCGCTGTGTATGTGTTTCTTTTTATACCCTGAACCCATTTTCAATGGGAAATCAGGGTATAATGGTTTTGTTGAAATGTATGTAACAGGCAGAAGGAGGCGTGGCAGACCCCACAAAGTATATATATTCTTGATCAGGGCGACGAGCTGAGTTGATTTGGCCCTGTCCGTCTGTCTGTCCGTCTGTCCGTCTGTCCGTCCGTCCGTCTGTCCGTCTGTCCGTNATGTGTTTGTGTATGTGTGTGTATGTGTGTGTGTGTATGCGTTTGTGTGAGTATGCGTGTGTGTTTGTGTATGTGTGTCTGTATGCGTGTGTGTGTATGTGTGCCTGTGTGTGCGTACGTGCCTGTCTGTGTGTGTGTGTGCGTGTTTCTTGTGTAAGCTAAAAGTCGCGAAAAATTATTGAAATATCTATTGCTCCAAGGGTTCAGGGGATCTCGTAGTCGAGCAGTCTCGACTAGAGCTTTCTTACTTGTTAGTTATTTCTTTTTTACATGAAATGTTTTGCTTTGCATTAGAAACTTGAGTCTTTCCCACCGTTTAGCCCACCGGCGGGCTCCACTTCGAATGAAATGCAATTGCAATTGTAATGCGATAGTTCAGGAAGAGCAAGGGAGATGGGGCGAGAGAGGCAAGGGCGCTAATTACGAATTTGTTGCTCGTAATGGTAATTAGACGCGAAACACACACACACACACATCACATGCATGTGGCCGAGTGCAAGTTGAAAGTGTCAAAAGTTGCTCAGTGGGAAGGCGAAACTGTTAATCGCGCAGCCTGTTAGTTTATATTTGTTTGTCTCTTCTGTGCATGTATGCAACAAAGTGAATAGGCAGATACACACACGCACACACGCATATGCATGTGTGTCTCTTTATTCATTTTGTTGATATTAGTCAGCGTTAGCGTTGGCGTCAGCCTCAGCGTCAGCGTCAGCGTTAGCGCAGTGGCTGCGTCGTCGACCGCAACGGAGTTTTGTTCTATGCACAATAGTCACACACACAGATGTATATACATACATAGTATAAACTAAGCGCGAGCGTGAGAGAGAGAGAGTGAGCGCGCCTAAGAAAGAGAGGGTGAGGGATCGAGAGTCAAAAATTTAATACTGGACTGTGCCAAAAACTTTATTTGGCACTGCTTCTACATATGTGTGTGTGCGAGAGTGAGTGCGTCGCGTTGCTGCAGCAGTGTGTGAGTGTGTGCGTGTGCGAGCGTGCTTATGTGTCTGCGTTCAGTCTGGTCCGTCGCTGAGCATGTTTCGTAGTGGTGGGAATCGAAAGCACAAGCGCACACACTCTAATACTCAAGTTCAGGTTCAATTCACTGTGTGCTCCTAGCCCCCTCGGCTGCCCCTACCCCTACACACTACATACATACATATGCATACGCACAGATCACTGAGCACACATGCATATGCACACACACACACACACACACACACTTGCATACATACACATTGACATTCCTGTCCCTGTCTGCCTACCTGACGATCCTAGCATTTGACTGGATAGGGATGGGGCTGGGATCGGGGGACTGGGACTGGCCAGAACAGCGAACGACGCAACAGAGCGTGCGCACGTTTGTTGTTGTCCCGCTCTCTGTCTCTCTCGCGCACACACACAGGCGCGGCTACTGCTGCTGCTGCGGCTGTTGCCAAAATTTCGGTGAATAGTTTAGTGTGTTTTTTTTTTTTTTTTTTTTTTTTTTTTTTGTTTGTGTGTGCTTTCGACTGCCGTCGCCCCTATCCCTGCCCTTTGTTTTTTTTTGTGCGCTATCGCTGCCGCTGTTGCTGCTGCTGCTGCTGTTGCTGTTGCTGCTGCTGCTGCTGCTGCGCGCAGTCGACGCTGCCGTCGCTGCCTGCCTGCCT